CACAGCGGCGCGTGAGTGCGAGGCCGCAGGGCAGCCACCGAGGGTTGCGAGGGGCGTCGCACGAAACAAAGGCTCTAGAGCAAGTTAAATGGTGTCGCTCGCGAAGCAGGGAACAGCGAGAGCGCCCATCGCCTTCTCCGCACGCACCGCCACGTACAGGAAGCCGTCGGCGTGCTTGCAAGCGTCACTGAGGTCGCCCACGGTGGCGGCGGCGGCTGGTGTGCAGCCGTCGACGGCGAGCGACATCTTCGTGGCGCTGATGCTGAGGGCGGCGCGCACGGCCGCCTCGAGCTCGGCGACGGTGGCGTCGCGGGGCAGCGCGAGGAAGTGCGCCTTGCTGCTCCTGGCGGCCTCCACCACCATGGCGACGTGCGCCGGGTACTTGGCCTGCAGCCGCGCGCACTCGGCACGGCGCACCTCGACGGAGTTGTTCGTCTGGTAGGCGGACATGGCTGAGCGAGTGGTGGAAAGCAAGCGGTGGGAAGTTCGGATTGACTGGCGGGCGAGGAGCTCGTGGCTGAGGGCGTTAGTCTGTGCGACAAGAGCGCAACGGCAACGCAATCAAACAGCAGAAGAGAGGACAAAAGCAAGACGCGCAGGGTGAGGGAGAGTGGGAGCGGGGGAGGGACGCAGGAAGGACGCAGGAAGAAGCTCAGCGGAGGTGAGGGGGAGCAAACGCAGCCGTCGTGGCTCCAAGTCGAGTGCGGAGGGCGATGGGTGAAGAGAGTTAGCACACACTGCAAAGCGAGACGAGGCGCTCACACGTCGAGAGCGGGCTGGCTGTTGTGGATCCGCTGTGTGCGGTTGGCGCCGATGCGCCGAGGGCTGTGGGTACGCAATCCATTCAGCATTCGACTGTACACATGGCGCCGCGAGGGGGCTGCGCGAAAAACAGAGGGAACAGAAAACAAAGGGAAGCACACATTGAGGAAAAAATAAACAAGACGGACGTTAGCTGGGAAGTGCACAAACTGAATGGGACGAATGAGTATGAACAACAAGAAACTATAAAAGAGCAATAGAATATTGTTGTGCCGTTGCAAGCAGAACAATGAACATCATGCAAGCGCTAGCAGGTGAGTGTGCATGTGCAGCGGCAGTGCGCAACTGGCGTGCGGGAGGAGGAGGCTCCTGGTGATGCCGGTGTGGTCCTGGACAGTAGGCTCTCCGGCAGAGAGGCGCTCCTCGCGCACGTCGAGCTGTGCAGCGCCAGTGAACAGTGCGATTCGCACAGCGGCGCGTGAGTGCGAGGCCGCAGGGCAGCCACCGAGGGTTGCGAGGGGCGTCGCACGAAACAAAGGCTCTAGAGCAAGTTAAATGGTGTCGCTCGCGAAGCAGGGAACAGCGAGAGCGCCCATCGCCTTCTCCGCACGCACCGCCACGTACAGGAAGCCGTCGGCGTGCTTGCAAGCGTCACTGAGGTCGCCCACGGTGGCGGCGGCGGCTGGTGTGCAGCCGTCGACGGCGAGCGACATCTTCGTGGCGCTGATGCTGAGGGCGGCGCGCACGGCCGCCTCGAGCTCGGCGACGGTGGCGTCGCGGGGCAGCGCGAGGAAGTGCGCCTTGCTGCTCCTGGCGGCCTCCACCACCATGGCGACGTGCGCCGGGTACTTGGCCTGCAGCCGCGCGCACTCGGCACGGCGCACCTCGACGGAGTTGTTCGTCTGGTAGGCGGACATGGCTGAGCGAGTGGTGGAAAGCAAGCGGTGGGAAGTTCGGATTGACTGGCGGGCGAGGAGCTCGTGGCTGAGGGCGTTAGTCTGTGCGACAAGAGCGCAACGGCAACGCAATCAAACAGCAGAAGAGAGGACAAAAGCAAGACGCGCAGGGTGAGGGAGAGTGGGAGCGGGGGAGGGACGCAGGAAGGACGCAGGAAGAAGCTCAGCGGAGGTGAGGGGGAGCAAACGCAGCCGTCGTGGCTCCAAGTCGAGTGCGGAGGGCGATGGGTGAAGAGAGTTAGCACACACTGCAAAGCGAGACGAGGCGCTCACACGTCGAGAGCGGGCTGGCTGTTGTGGATCCGCTGTGTGCGGTTGGCGCCGATGCGCCGAGGGCTGTGGGTACGCAATCCATTCAGCATTCGACTGTACACATGGCGCCGCGAGGGGGCTGCGCGAAAAACAGAGGGAACAGAAAACAAAGGGAAGCACACATTGAGGAAAAAATAAACAAGACGGACGTTAGCTGGGAAGTGCACAAACTGAATGGGACGAATGAGTATGAACAACAAGAAACTATAAAAGAGCAATAGAATATTGTTGTGCCGTTGCAAGCAGAACAATGAACATCATGCAAGCGCTAGCAGGTGAGTGTGCATGTGCAGCGGCAGTGCGCAACTGGCGTGCGGGAGGAGGAGGCTCCTGGTGATGCCGGTGTGGTCCTGGACAGTAGGCTCTCCGGCAGAGAGGCGCTCCTCGCGCACGTCGAGCTGTGCAGCGCCAGTGAACAGTGCGATTCGCACAGCGGCGCGTGAGTGCGAGGCCGCAGGGCAGCCACCGAGGGTTGCGAGGGGCGTCGCACGAAACAAAGGCTCTAGAGCAAGTTAAATGGTGTCGCTCGCGAAGCAGGGAACAGCGAGAGCGCCCATCGCCTTCTCCGCACGCACCGCCACGTACAGGAAGCCGTCGGCGTGCTTGCAAGCGTCACTGAGGTCGCCCACGGTGGCGGCGGCGGCTGGTGTGCAGCCGTCGACGGCGAGCGACATCTTCGTGGCGCTGATGCTGAGGGCGGCGCGCACGGCCGCCTCGAGCTCGGCGACGGTGGCGTCGCGGGGCAGCGCGAGGAAGTGCGCCTTGCTGCTCCTGGCGGCCTCCACCACCATGGCGACGTGCGCCGGGTACTTGGCCTGCAGCCGCGCGCACTCGGCACGGCGCACCTCGACGGAGTTGTTCGTCTGGTAGGCGGACATGGCTGAGCGAGTGGTGGAAAGCAAGCGGTGGGAAGTTCGGATTGACTGGCGGGCGAGGAGCTCGTGGCTGAGGGCGTTAGTCTGTGCGACAAGAGCGCAACGGCAACGCAATCAAACAGCAGAAGAGAGGACAAAAGCAAGACGCGCAGGGTGAGGGAGAGTGGGAGCGGGGGAGGGACGCAGGAAGGACGCAGGAAGAAGCTCAGCGGAGGTGAGGGGGAGCAAACGCAGCCGTCGTGGCTCCAAGTCGAGTGCGGAGGGCGATGGGTGAAGAGAGTTAGCACACACTGCAAAGCGAGACGAGGCGCTCACACGTCGAGAGCGGGCTGGCTGTTGTGGATCCGCTGTGTGCGGTTGGCGCCGATGCGCCGAGGGCTGTGGGTACGCAATCCATTCAGCATTCGACTGTACACATGGCGCCGCGAGGGGGCTGCGCGAAAAACAGAGGGAACAGAAAACAAAGGGAAGCACACATTGAGGAAAAAATAAACAAGACGGACGTTAGCTGGGAAGTGCACAAACTGAATGGGACGAATGAGTATGAACAACAAGAAACTATAAAAGAGCAATAGAATATTGTTGTGCCGTTGCAAGCAGAACAATGAACATCATGCAAGCGCTAGCAGGTGAGTGTGCATGTGCAGCGGCAGTGCGCAACTGGCGTGCGGGAGGAGGAGGCTCCTGGTGATGCCGGTGTGGTCCTGGACAGTAGGCTCTCCGGCAGAGAGGCGCTCCTCGCGCACGTCGAGCTGTGCAGCGCCAGTGAACAGTGCGATTCGCACAGCGGCGCGTGAGTGCGAGGCCGCAGGGCAGCCACCGAGGGTTGCGAGGGGCGTCGCACGAAACAAAGGCTCTAGAGCAAGTTAAATGGTGTCGCTCGCGAAGCAGGGAACAGCGAGAGCGCCCATCGCCTTCTCCGCACGCACCGCCACGTACAGGAAGCCGTCGGCGTGCTTGCAAGCGTCACTGAGGTCGCCCACGGTGGCGGCGGCGGCTGGTGTGCAGCCGTCGACGGCGAGCGACATCTTCGTGGCGCTGATGCTGAGGGCGGCGCGCACGGCCGCCTCGAGCTCGGCGACGGTGGCGTCGCGGGGCAGCGCGAGGAAGTGCGCCTTGCTGCTCCTGGCGGCCTCCACCACCATGGCGACGTGCGCCGGGTACTTGGCCTGCAGCCGCGCGCACTCGGCACGGCGCACCTCGACGGAGTTGTTCGTCTGGTAGGCGGACATGGCTGAGCGAGTGGTGGAAAGCAAGCGGTGGGAAGTTCGGATTGACTGGCGGGCGAGGAGCTCGTGGCTGAGGGCGTTAGTCTGTGCGACAAGAGCGCAACGGCAACGCAATCAAACAGCAGAAGAGAGGACAAAAGCAAGACGCGCAGGGTGAGGGAGAGTGGGAGCGGGGGAGGGACGCAGGAAGGACGCAGGAAGAAGCTCAGCGGAGGTGAGGGGGAGCAAACGCAGCCGTCGTGGCTCCAAGTCGAGTGCGGAGGGCGATGGGTGAAGAGAGTTAGCACACACTGCAAAGCGAGACGAGGCGCTCACACGTCGAGAGCGGGCTGGCTGTTGTGGATCCGCTGTGTGCGGTTGGCGCCGATGCGCCGAGGGCTGTGGGTACGCAATCCATTCAGCATTCGACTGTACACATGGCGCCGCGAGGGGGCTGCGCGAAAAACAGAGGGAACAGAAAACAAAGGGAAGCACACATTGAGGAAAAAATAAACAAGACGGACGTTAGCTGGGAAGTGCACAAACTGAATGGGACGAATGAGTATGAACAACAAGAAACTATAAAAGAGCAATAGAATATTGTTGTGCCGTTGCAAGCAGAACAATGAACATCATGCAAGCGCTAGCAGGTGAGTGTGCATGTGCAGCGGCAGTGCGCAACTGGCGTGCGGGAGGAGGAGGCTCCTGGTGATGCCGGTGTGGTCCTGGACAGTAGGCTCTCCGGCAGAGAGGCGCTCCTCGCGCACGTCGAGCTGTGCAGCGCCAGTGAACAGTGCGATTCGCACAGCGGCGCGTGAGTGCGAGGCCGCAGGGCAGCCACCGAGGGTTGCGAGGGGCGTCGCACGAAACAAAGGCTCTAGAGCAAGTTAAATGGTGTCGCTCGCGAAGCAGGGAACAGCGAGAGCGCCCATCGCCTTCTCCGCACGCACCGCCACGTACAGGAAGCCGTCGGCGTGCTTGCAAGCGTCACTGAGGTCGCCCACGGTGGCGGCGGCGGCTGGTGTGCAGCCGTCGACGGCGAGCGACATCTTCGTGGCGCTGATGCTGAGGGCGGCGCGCACGGCCGCCTCGAGCTCGGCGACGGTGGCGTCGCGGGGCAGCGCGAGGAAGTGCGCCTTGCTGCTCCTGGCGGCCTCCACCACCATGGCGACGTGCGCCGGGTACTTGGCCTGCAGCCGCGCGCACTCGGCACGGCGCACCTCGACGGAGTTGTTCGTCTGGTAGGCGGACATGGCTGAGCGAGTGGTGGAAAGCAAGCGGTGGGAAGTTCGGATTGACTGGCGGGCGAGGAGCTCGTGGCTGAGGGTAATTATCTTCGCGGAAGTCGCGTGTAGTGAATTTGAGGGGACGCATCGGAGGGAGGGAAAGGCAGGAGAAAGGGAGAGGAAATGGAATGGAAGGCAATCGGAGCTAGCAGTGATGAGGATACGAAGTAGCGGTGCAAGCGCGACGACCCGCCCAGGTGCATACGATGCTCACCGTTACCCTCAAAGGGGGAGCGAAATAGGGCAGTGTGGGTACTTTTTGCATCCAGAGCCGAAAGCGCTCTTCCGTACGCGCCGAACGGCCGCTTGGATCCCATCTCGTCACGAAGGCGCTCCATTCCCACACTCCGTCCAGCTGGAGCTGCTTCGTCAAACGGCGCTGGCAGTGCTTTCAGGGCTCTTGAGTCCACAGGGAGGGACAGCAGAGAGAAATAAAGAAAGGACGACGCGAGGAGAGGATAACAGTGAAAATACGTAAAAATGCACAAAGGATATTATCGAATGAGAGCGTGGAATGGCGAGAGGGAGAGATACAAGGGGGAGCACTACACCGGTGCTGAACGCTGCTGATCTGTCTATGCACATAAATAACAGCAGCACAAAATACGGTGCAAAGTTCGCCTCACCGCACAGACAACGCGGAAGGAAACAAAAAGAAAGTAGTTAATGGCACTCGGGTGAGACGTGCTCGTGGATGTTGTAGTCCTGCGATTAGCAAGGGCAGGGCAAACGCCAACGAAACACACGCTCATGGGCAGCACATTACTGAGAGAAACAGTTGAGGCGTTGAAGGAAAAAACAGCGCGAGAGTGCACAGAATTGCGGAGGCACGTGCTGTGCAGCGGTGCGACGTTGTCAGCCAGAGCGTGTAAACCTGTTGCCTACCAGCGAATGGGAGAGGAAGAAGAAGTAAAACCAACAACGCCGGCCCCATACGCACTCAGTCGGTGCACGGCGGGTGCTGCCACCAGCCACCGCAGCGCAGACGGACGAAGCGCTGCAGCTGCCACGCCGCGGCGCGACGCGCTCACGTCTACAGGTCGTACGGGCCGTCCCACGCGAAGCACGGCGTCACCATCCCGCCCATGGCCCTCTCCGCGCGCACCGCCACGTACAGGAAGCCGTCGGCGCGCTTGCAGCTCTCGTGGATGTCGCGCAGGGTGGTGCCGGCGGCGGGCGTGCAGCCGTCGATGATGAGCGAGAGCTTCTTGCCGTTGAGGGCGGCGCGCACGGTGTCCTCCAGGCCGGCCACGGTGGCGTCGCGCGCCACGTTGACGAAGAGCAGGCGGCCGTCGTTGCACTCGATGGCAACGGGGAGCTGGTTGGCGGAGACGGTGTGGATGGCGGCCATGGCTGAGCGAGTGTGCGAGTGGTGAGGAGTTCGGAGTTCGGATTGACTGGCGGGCGAGGAGCTCGTGGCTGAGGGTAATTATCTTCGCGGAAGTCGCGTGTAGTGAATTTGAGGGGACGCATCGGAGGGAGGGAAAGGCAGGAGAAAGGGAGAGGAAATGGAATGGAAGGCAATCGGAGCTAGCAGTGATGAGGATACGAAGTAGCGGTGCAAGCGCGACGACCCGCCCAGGTGCATACGATGCTCACCGTTACCCTCAAAGGGGGAGCGAAATAGGGCAGTGTGGGTACTTTTTGCATCCAGAGCCGAAAGCGCTCTTCCGTACGCGCCGAACGGCCGCTTGGATCCCATCTCGTCACGAAGGCGCTCCATTCCCACACTCCGTCCAGCTGGAGCTGCTTCGTCAAACGGCGCTGGCAGTGCTTTCAGGGCTCTTGAGTCCACAGGGAGGGACAGCAGAGAGAAATAAAGAAAGGACGACGCGAGGAGAGGATAACAGTGAAAATACGTAAAAATGCACAAAGGATATTATCGAATGAGAGCGTGGAATGGCGAGAGGGAGAGATACAAGGGGGAGCACTACACCGGTGCTGAACGCTGCTGATCTGTCTATGCACATAAATAACAGCAGCACAAAATACGGTGCAAAGTTCGCCTCACCGCACAGACAACGCGGAAGGAAACAAAAAGAAAGTAGTTAATGGCACTCGGGTGAGACGTGCTCGTGGATGTTGTAGTCCTGCGATTAGCAAGGGCAGGGCAAACGCCAACGAAACACACGCTCATGGGCAGCACATTACTGAGAGAAACAGTTGAGGCGTTGAAGGAAAAAACAGCGCGAGAGTGCACAGAATTGCGGAGGCACGTGCTGTGCAGCGGTGCGACGTTGTCAGCCAGAGCGTGTAAACCTGTTGCCTACCAGCGAATGGGAGAGGAAGAAGAAGTAAAACCAACAACGCCGGCCCCATACGCACTCAGTCGGTGCACGGCGGGTGCTGCCACCAGCCACCGCAGCGCAGACGGACGAAGCGCTGCAGCTGCCACGCCGCGGCGCGACGCGCTCACGTCTACAGGTCGTACGGGCCGTCCCACGCGAAGCACGGCGTCACCATCCCGCCCATGGCCCTCTCCGCGCGCACCGCCACGTACAGGAAGCCGTCGGCGCGCTTGCAGCTCTCGTGGATGTCGCGCAGGGTGGTGCCGGCGGCGGGCGTGCAGCCGTCGATGATGAGCGAGAGCTTCTTGCCGTTGAGGGCGGCGCGCACGGTGTCCTCCAGGCCGGCCACGGTGGCGTCGCGCGCCACGTTGACGAAGAGCAGGCGGCCGTCGTTGCACTCGATGGCAACGGGGAGCTGGTTGGCGGAGACGGTGTGGATGGCGGCCATGGCTGAGCGAGTGTGCGAGTGGTGAGGAGTTCGGAGTTCGGATTGACTGGCGGGCGAGGAGCTCGTGGCTGAGGGTAATTATCTTCGCGGAAGTCGCGTGTAGTGAATTTGAGGGGACGCATCGGAGGGAGGGAAAGGCAGGAGAAAGGGAGAGGAAATGGAATGGAAGGCAATCGGAGCTAGCAGTGATGAGGATACGAAGTAGCGGTGCAAGCGCGACGACCCGCCCAGGTGCATACGATGCTCACCGTTACCCTCAAAGGGGGAGCGAAATAGGGCAGTGTGGGTACTTTTTGCATCCAGAGCCGAAAGCGCTCTTCCGTACGCGCCGAACGGCCGCTTGGATCCCATCTCGTCACGAAGGCGCTCCATTCCCACACTCCGTCCAGCTGGAGCTGCTTCGTCAAACGGCGCTGGCAGTGCTTTCAGGGCTCTTGAGTCCACAGGGAGGGACAGCAGAGAGAAATAAAGAAAGGACGACGCGAGGAGAGGATAACAGTGAAAATACGTAAAAATGCACAAAGGATATTATCGAATGAGAGCGTGGAATGGCGAGAGGGAGAGATACAAGGGGGAGCACTACACCGGTGCTGAACGCTGCTGATCTGTCTATGCACATAAATAACAGCAGCACAAAATACGGTGCAAAGTTCGCCTCACCGCACAGACAACGCGGAAGGAAACAAAAAGAAAGTAGTTAATGGCACTCGGGTGAGACGTGCTCGTGGATGTTGTAGTCCTGCGATTAGCAAGGGCAGGGCAAACGCCAACGAAACACACGCTCATGGGCAGCACATTACTGAGAGAAACAGTTGAGGCGTTGAAGGAAAAAACAGCGCGAGAGTGCACAGAATTGCGGAGGCACGTGCTGTGCAGCGGTGCGACGTTGTCAGCCAGAGCGTGTAAACCTGTTGCCTACCAGCGAATGGGAGAGGAAGAAGAAGTAAAACCAACAACGCCGGCCCCATACGCACTCAGTCGGTGCACGGCGGGTGCTGCCACCAGCCACCGCAGCGCAGACGGACGAAGCGCTGCAGCTGCCACGCCGCGGCGCGACGCGCTCACGTCTACAGGTCGTACGGGCCGTCCCACGCGAAGCACGGCGTCACCATCCCGCCCATGGCCCTCTCCGCGCGCACCGCCACGTACAGGAAGCCGTCGGCGCGCTTGCAGCTCTCGTGGATGTCGCGCAGGGTGGTGCCGGCGGCGGGCGTGCAGCCGTCGATGATGAGCGAGAGCTTCTTGCCGTTGAGGGCGGCGCGCACGGTGTCCTCCAGGCCGGCCACGGTGGCGTCGCGCGCCACGTTGACGAAGAGCAGGCGGCCGTCGTTGCACTCGATGGCAACGGGGAGCTGGTTGGCGGAGACGGTGTGGATGGCGGCCATGGCTGAGCGAGTGTGCGAGTGGTGAGGAGTTCGGAGTTCGGATTGACTGGCGGGCGAGGAGCTCGTGGCTGAGGGTAATTATCTTCGCGGAAGTCGCGTGTAGTGAATTTGAGGGGACGCATCGGAGGGAGGGAAAGGCAGGAGAAAGGGAGAGGAAATGGAATGGAAGGCAATCGGAGCTAGCAGTGATGAGGATACGAAGTAGCGGTGCAAGCGCGACGACCCGCCCAGGTGCATACGATGCTCACCGTTACCCTCAAAGGGGGAGCGAAATAGGGCAGTGTGGGTACTTTTTGCATCCAGAGCCGAAAGCGCTCTTCCGTACGCGCCGAACGGCCGCTTGGATCCCATCTCGTCACGAAGGCGCTCCATTCCCACACTCCGTCCAGCTGGAGCTGCTTCGTCAAACGGCGCTGGCAGTGCTTTCAGGGCTCTTGAGTCCACAGGGAGGGACAGCAGAGAGAAATAAAGAAAGGACGACGCGAGGAGAGGATAACAGTGAAAATACGTAAAAATGCACAAAGGATATTATCGAATGAGAGCGTGGAATGGCGAGAGGGAGAGATACAAGGGGGAGCACTACACCGGTGCTGAACGCTGCTGATCTGTCTATGCACATAAATAACAGCAGCACAAAATACGGTGCAAAGTTCGCCTCACCGCACAGACAACGCGGAAGGAAACAAAAAGAAAGTAGTTAATGGCACTCGGGTGAGACGTGCTCGTGGATGTTGTAGTCCTGCGATTAGCAAGGGCAGGGCAAACGCCAACGAAACACACGCTCATGGGCAGCACATTACTGAGAGAAACAGTTGAGGCGTTGAAGGAAAAAACAGCGCGAGAGTG